TTAACTCAGGGTCTTTTCACTGAACTGCATCTCCAGCCCATTGTTTATCTATTTATTTTTTATTTTAAGCTAAAGTCTCGCTAAGTTACTAAGTTGTCCAGGCTGGGCTCAAACTTGCTGTCCACCTGCCTCAGCCTCCCAGAGAAATGGAATTACAGGGTGTGCACCATCCTGCCAACTCCTCCATTTCTTTTTAGCCAGTACTTAACAGTCCCTCAAATCAGTACAAAATCTAGTCTAATTATTTGGAACAACAGAAATGGATTTATTAAATGATAGTGATAGACCTAGTTCCTCGCCAGAATGCCCACGAGAAGCCGAGAATCAGGCTGGATGCTTTCCAGGGACACTTCTGGGGTGGGAAAGTTCCTGCCCTTGCACCTTCCCCGGGCTCCACACCAGCCCTGCCCAACCTGTGTCTTCACCGCGCTCTTCTGGGAGGAAAGACCGGACTGGGAACAGATTCACTGAGCAACCTCCGCAAGCCTGCGTTTTGAGACAGGTCTTACGAAATTGTGGTTACCTGGCTGGCAAAGTGAGCTTTTGGTCTCCTCTGTCAACATTCGTGCTTTAAATCCCCAGAGAAGGGAGGCTGTCCTCAGAGGGTGGGTGGCCACAATAAATCACAAAGTAAAGAGACAAAGTCTGTGTCGACCACAATCTTTCCCGACCAAGGAGCTCCCTCTGATGTCCTCCCGGGGGGGCCTCACGGTGCCTGAGACCACCGCCTTCTTGGGATCTCATCCCTGATCTCTGTGACATAATTCCCTCTCCCTCCTTTGCTGGGGTGGCACTGAGGATTGGACACAGAGCCTTATGTGTGATAGGCAAGCACTCTACCACTGAGCTCCATGGCCAGGCCTCCTTCTTTTCTTTGATTACTGCTTCTCAGATTCTCTCATGGGCCTTTCTGCTCACAGACTTTTGAAAAATGTTTTATAATGTGTGGAGTTCTTACTGATTACATTCATCGTGAGGAGTTTGTGCATGGACGTAACACATCTTCATTCTTTAAATGTCTCTTCCCTTTCCCTTCCTCACACCTTCCACTTTTTAGTTTTAGAAATTATTTTATTTAAAGCCAGGTGAAAATAAATCAATAAAGCCAGGTGTGGGAGACTTTATGAGAAGGATCATCATGAGTTCAAGGCTAGCCTGGCCTACACAGAGAGACCTTGTTTCAAAAAAGATTTTTTTTAAATTGCAACAGTGTTTTAATAGTTAAAATTTCCTGTCAACTGCTTTAGTCACAGGATAATCTCTTCTTTAAGATACAGAACTGTCTGTGATTCAAAAACAGATGATTGGAGGATTATTTCTGTAGTTTTCCTTACAATAAAATTTTCCTTTCTTTTTATGATGTGCATGTTTCTACAGAACTTGGCTCTATGTACAAAGACTGTCCCTGGAAGCAAAGGCAGTTGTGTAGCCCAGGAAAAACATGAAGCTCTTTGTTAATGTTTCTGGTTCCCTTCTGGGTCACAATGCAAATACTGCCCTGGGGTGGGAGGGCAGGGTGGGAGCTGGTGCTGGGAGATTGGAATCACAGGACAGCTGCAATGGCAGCCTCGTGTGTGCCTGAGGCCTTCTTTATGTTCAGTGTGGGCGAATGCATTTTTCTTTTTTCTTTTCTCTGTCCTTCCTCTCAGTCTGGTCTTACACACTGCACGGAAGGCAAACTGACCTACCTTTTCATCAGTTTTCATATATCCGTTCCGTAGTGTTGACACGTGAGATATTTCCCCCTGGGTTGTTTTAAATTATTTGTTTATTCGCTTTTTGGTGACTCTCATTTTATTCAATCTAGAACTTTTTCCACTTGAGACTTCTTTTCAAAATGTTCCCAATTCTCTTTCTAGAATGTTTCCTCAAAGCCATATTTTTGAATTTACTATTTTCTTCTATTCCTTTTAGATAAATATTTTCATCTTAGCTCTGGGGTTATGTTTGCTTAAACTAACTCTAACTACTTCAAAATATAGTCAAATAGAGAAGAGATCACTGTTTGGGTTATTATGGTTTTCATACTTTCACTTTGAATTTTCTGTTCTACCGAGCCAGGGTTGATATTAGAGCTGTGACAGGCTTCATGGTACACACCTGTCTGGATCCTTTTACGTGGAATGATTCTTTATCTCGTTTAGATTCCCCCCGCGGTGTAGGTCAAAATTAAGAAAGCTTTTAAAATAATAATGTTTAAAAAAGAAATAAAGCAGGGTTGGGGATTTAGCTCAGTGCTTCCTGCGCCTGCCTCACAAGCACAAGGGGGCCTGCGTTCGCACAGGGTCCTCAGTTTGATCCCCGGTACCAAAATAAAAAAATAAAATAATTTTTAAGCCAAGCACGGCAGCTCATGCCTGTAATCCCAGCACTCAGGAAGCTGAGGCAGAAGAATCCAGCCAGGCATACATAGCAAGTTCAAAGCCAGCCCAAGGGCTGGGGATGTAGCTCAGTGGCACTGCAACCTGTCTGCCAAGCGCAAGGGCCTGAGTTCAATCCCTGGTACCACAAAAATTAGAAAAGAAAGAAATGTGTTTGATCCTCGGTACCGGGGGTGGGGTGGGGGGACAAGCAACAGCAAGGACAACAAAACACAAGCCAGCCCATACTATACCAGTACTGTATGATAAGACCCTACCTCAGAAACAGTGGCTGGCTGGGAGCAGTTCAGGGGTGCATGCCGGTAGTCCCTGTAGTCCCTGGGAGGCTGAGGCAGGAGGATCACCATGAGTTTGAGGCCAGCCTGAGCTACGTAATGAGTTCAAGGCCAATATGAACTACATGGTGAAACCCTGTCTCAAAAAAAGCCAAAAAAGGGCCGGGAATTTTGTTCAGTGGTTCTGCCCCCCGCCTCACAAGCACAGGGGCCTGAGTTCGATCCCCAGTACCAAATAAAGAAATAAATAAATACCCCCCCAAAAAAATAACAAACAAGGTGTTTAGGGCTGGGGATTTAGCTTAGTGGTATCGCACCTGTCACCTGAGCAAGAAGTACTCAGTTCAATTCCCAGTACAAAAAAAAAAAATTATTTAACCGTGAACAAATTATTATTTGCTTGTTTGTTTGTTTTGTGTTTTTGACACAGAGTCTATATAGTTCAGACTTGCCTTGAACTTACTACGTAGCCCCGGCTGGCATTGAACTCATGGTGCTCCTCCTGCCTCAGCCTCCTGAGTGCTCAGATTACAGGAGTGGGGCACCACACCCAGCTTAACTGTGAACAATGCTACAAATAAAATAACTGATAAGAATACAGTGACTGCTTACATGCAGAACAAGTTATTGCAGTAGAAGACCCATTCCCATTAACCCCCTTCCAAACGCACTCAGCCCAGCATTCTTGCCGCTGTCTGAGGCGGTTCCGGAGCCCTCTTTTGCGAGTGTCTTTAGCTGCATTATCGAAGTTGCCTCAATGTCCTTAGTCGGTTAACGTTCACCTTTCATGGTCATTTTGACTTTGCAGGAGAGCAGAAGCCGCATATTACCAGGTCTGCCGAGCTGGATGAGGGCACACTGGCGTGTTTTTACAGCCCTGCCTCCCTTTGCATGGCTCTTGGCGACAACCATATTTTTCAGTCACATCTCATGAAGACACAAGAGGACTTCCTGAGCTGCTTCAGCAAGTGACGAGAACTGTGGGTAGGTGTGCGCAAAGCAAAGACAAATGAGTAGTTTTGGTCTGCATTGAAGCAGAGGCAAAACGTCGCCTATGAATATTTAGTAAGTGAGACTCCAAAATCCCATGGGACCTTGTGCGATGACTAGCGCTCCAGCCCGAGATATAGGAGATGGTGCCTATCCAGGAAGAAAAGATGATTTGTTAGCCCTGTGCATAGAGACTTCTAGTTGCCAGCATCAGCAACCTAACTGAATAGGAATGAAGCCCAGAAGGAACCTACCGGCTCCTGTTTGTACATGGGCAGGGCTTGGTGGGCCCTTATGTTGGCCACACCTCCATCCCTATCCCCGCCTTCCCCTTGCTATTTCTTCCCAGACAGTCTCTGTCCAGAGAGGCACGGAGCAATGCTATTTATATCTGTGGCCTGTGGTCCCAGACAGGAAGAAAGAGAGGGGCCTCCTGTGTCCTATCCAGCAGAAAGAGCAAGAAAGACTCCAAGGTGTTGGTGAGTTACCTTTCTTCTGACCATCGACATAGGGTGGGAAAAGCCTCTCACCTAGGGCAGGGTGGGAGCAGAGGGACAAAAGCCAGCTGTTCTTTGCTTCTAGGTCCCTTGGAGGCCTGTGCACAGGATAAGACAGTAGCAGAAGGTGTGCATGTGGATGGTGGGAAGGTGGGAGGCAAACACCATAGATTGTGTTCTTTGATGAGCCAATCAAAATTTTTTTTAAAAAGGGCCAGGGAATTGGCTCAATGGCTCCACTGCCTGCCGAAAGCACAAGGGCCAGAGTTTGGTCCCTAATACCAAAAATAAAAAATAAAAATAAAAAAAAAAAGAGAGAGAGAGAGAGGGAGAGAGAGACACACACAGTTGGGTGTGATGATGTACACTTGCAATCCCAGCACTTTGGGAGTCTGAGGCAGGAGGATGGCAAAATAAGCTCGGGATGTGGCTCAGTACAAAGACCCTGGATTCGATCTTCAGTTCAGCAAAACAAAACACCAGCTTCGTCCTATATCTCCTACTATCTCCCCAACTTATTTATTTCTTAGTGCTTACTAATGTATGACATTATCTTATATAATTATTTCATTGCTTTTTCAAAGTCTATCTGCCATTATCTCCCAAATATAAACTGTATGACAGAGGAGACTACCTTGTGGTCCTTGCTGTGACTTTATCATTGCAGAAAAGTACCAAGCACAGAAACACTCAGAAAAAAAAATTTTTTTTGAGACAGGGTCTCACTGTGTCGCTGAGACTGACCTGGAGCTCACTATGTAGCCCAGGCTGGTCTCGAACTCATAGTGATCCTCCTGCCTCAGCCTCCCAAGTGCTGCGATTATAGGCATGTGCCACCACACCCGGCTCCAGAAATATTTTTCAATGAATACAGCAAAACAAGGAAGGTATACCTGAGCCTTTTTTTAAAAAATAAAATGAAGGTTAAAAAAAGGTCATAAATAAATACATACATACATACATAAATAAAATGGAGGTAATAAAATGAATGCCCAAGTAGTCACTGTGCTGAGAGCTTGGCAATCCAGAATGATTCCTTCCTTGAAGGTTATGCATGGTCAGTTATAGTTTTTAGTTAAAATACTTGTGGTGGCATCATGAAAGATCAGCCTTATTTCCTGTTCTTTTTTCTTTCTTCCTTTTTTTTTTTAAACTGGGGATCAAATATGGGACCTTGCATTTGCAAGGATGCAGTGGAACCACTGAGCTAAATTCCCAGCCCTCTTTCTTCCTTTTTTGAGGTACTAGGGATTAAACCCAGGAACTTCATACTGAACTATATCCCCAGCCCTTTATTATTTTGTATTTTGAGATATGTTCATGCTAAGTCTCCTAAACTAGGTTTGAATTTACAATCCTCCTGCCTCAGTCTCCCAGAGTGCTGGGATTATGGGCATGCAGCACCGTGCCCAGCTTCCCTGTTGATTTGCTGGTTTTGCTTTGTAATATTATTCGTAAAAGCCTGGTCTCCTAGTTGGTTTGCTACGCTCTTCATGAGTGAATCCACTAAGCACGCTTTTACTTCCGCTCGGACCGGGGTCCTGCTCACTGCCCAGCCCAGGCTCAGCCAGCTGCTGGAGTACTGAATCATCAGGGAGTGCCCTCTACAAACACAGAGGAAGCAGTCCAGGGCTTGCCCTCCAGCCACTTCCTTTATCGGTCCCTACACTCTGGAACATTATCCACCTCCCCTCATTATCCCAGGGTCAGGAACTCGGCCACCAGAGCCCACGGAAGTGGCTCAGACTAGCTAATCCTGTACTACTCATCCTGCCTCATTGGCTTCTTCCCAGGGGACCCACAGGAAAGTCTCTTCCCTACAGAGTCACAGGCTCTGCCCTCCCCCTGTGCCACCCACCAGCCCTGGTGCTTCCCTGGGCCTCATTCAAGGAGCGTTGCTTCCCCCCGGGGACTCTGGGTATCAGTCTTTCCAAACGCAATAGTCTCTTGATCTGTTGGCCTCACTGTACCTCAAACTTTTTAGCCGTACATTGTTTGTATATCTTTCTTTCTTGTTTTCTTTCCAGTACCGGGGACTGAACCCCGGACATCCACACAGAGCAACTTCCCCAGTCCTTTTTGTTTTATTTTTCTAATTTTGAGATAGAGTCTGTCTTTCTGGATTCTCACTTTATTCGAGTTGCTCTTGAACTTGTGGGCTCGGGTGATCCTCCTGCCTCTGACACAGCAGATGGGGAGTGGCAAAACTGGCTGGGAAAGTAAGCGGGACCTGTCACCTACAAGCTTCCAGGACCGCGCCCATAATTCTCAGCAGAATGTAGAACTTCTCGCAGACTCCCTCCAGATGCGCATGGCATAGAAGAAGACCAGAGCCACAGGGAGCTTGCTGTCTCGACTTGCCGCCGTAGCCCATGCTCTGTTTCTCAGATACAGCGTGTACTTTTATTTTTGTTTTTATCTTCTTTTTCTCTTGTTCTGCCCAAGTGTGCTCTGCACAGCTGGTTTCTCCCACACCCATTCACCCTGCACTTTTCAAATACACTTTTCGCAGCACAGGGGCGGAGACCAGGGCTCTGAAGATTTCTTAGAAGAACAGGCAGGTCCATGCCAAGAGTCCTTCAAAAGGTGGCCTGTGTCCGTGCTGACCACGAAGACGACCAGTAGATGCCTTTGACTTCCCTGGAATCGCAGGGCAGCCAGCTTCCCGGGAGGCACTTGAGCTGCGAGGGGCGAATGTGGCCATCGGACAGGATCCTGCTCAGGATCAGGAATAAGAAGAGGGGAACCGCAGTCGGGTTTCATTGTGATACCCGGGGCAAAACTAGCAACAGACGTGGGCAGGACAAAGAACTGGCCTGAGACAATAATTTGTGTCAAGGTAAGTGGTGATTTAACCAGAAGCGAGGCAACCCCACGTCACTGCTGTAGGAACCATCTTTGCAAGTCAAATCTGTCTTCGTTGGCTTTTACTACAATTAGAAAGAGCTGACTTCGCTTTTTTACGAGATATGACTTCTAATTTTGAGATGGCCATGTAAAGAGTCATTAAATTTATATTTTTCATTTCTATTTTACATTTTCCTGCCTTATCTTTGAAGGTTGTAAAGTTGATGGGGGAAAAGCCGTATATTTTTATAGCGTAGTGGTATTTAAAATGTCAAGAAGCCAAAAAAAAAAAAAAAAAAAAAAAAAAAAAAAAAAAAAAAAAAAAAAAAAAAAAAAAAAAAAAAAGCGGGCGGGGTATCGTTTAGCCTGCGATCTGTAATGCACGTACATTGCTTTCCTTCAGCTGTGCCTCTCATTTCACGCATGCGCACAGCTCTTCCTCCCTCACCCCCACGTGCATGCAGTTACTCTGAGGCTAGACTCGGCTTGGAACGGGAAGCACAGTTCCTACTAGAGCACCAGAAAAAGGAAGGCTAATTTAATTAGTGTCTAGTCTGGAAGCAGCGCAAATGAGGCCCATAATGTAGAAAGGTTATTTGTGATCTGCTTCATGGGGAAAAGAAAACCTGCTTGATTTGTACCGTTCTGCCGCTCTCCTAACAGAGGTTTGTTCTCCTCTCTAACCCAGACTCCATCCAATCACCAGGCCCTGCTGCATTCACGTTCTCCTGATTTATGTCTCAGCTCCCAGAATGCCAGGTGCCTGCAGCATGAGGAGGTGGAGGCTTTGGCAGGTGTTCTGCCAGCACGGATCAGATTTATCACCAAATTAAACACAACTGTGAATTTGGAAGAAAAATTGTCAAATTCACAAAGTATGCCACAGATTAGCCCAAATACAGTTGCTTCTAACCTATGCATTTTGTCTGGATGTTTGCATTTGTTGGAGGTAAGATATGCTGCAAGGCCAGGGCTGGCCAGCAACATTTCGTTTGTTCCTTCTAACAAAAGCAGAATGAGGGCTGGGGAGTTAGCTCAGTGGTTCTGCCGCCTTCCAAAGCGCAAGGTCCTGAATTAGATCCCTGGTGTAAAAAAAAAAAAAAAAAAAAAAAAAAAAAAAAAAAAAAAAAAAGAAAATAGATCTGAATATAAACAAAGAGAAATCAAAGGATTGATAATAGGAAACCCGGGCCAGGGATTTAGCTAAGTGGTGCTGCACCTGCTTGGCAAGCACAAAGTTCCGAGTTCAATCCGCAGTACCAAAAAAAAAAGGAATCAGGGAGCTAGATCTTTTGCAAATAGGAGGGGGACCAAGAGACGGAGGGAAGGAGATGTGAGGATGAAAAAAGAATTAAAATGTGCTATTATATACAAGTACCAACGCTTCACAGGGAATGTTCTCATTATGCACTGCAAGGGTGCACCAATAAAAATAATAATTGAAAAAAAGGAAAGGATCCGAAAGTACCTTTGAATCCTAAAAGCACGACACAGATGTGTGTTTTCCTTACTGATTTCACTGTTGTGCTATTTAAAGGAAAATAGTTAGGAGATAAACAGTGTAAATTAGCTCTTTTCTCTTTCTTTTATGCCAGTGCATTTTCTAACGCATTCTAAATGCAATAGAACCTCTCTATTTTGTTTTCTACGCATTGTAACAGAATCAGATAGTAAATCTCACTCTGATGAACTTCTCTTGCTCCAGAGATTTGTCTCCAGCTCATTTCTTTGCTTTTGGTTTTTTTTGGGGGGGGGGTGTTTATTTGTTTTTTGTTTTTGTTTTGAGCCAGGCTGGTCTGGAACTCACAGCGATCCTCCCGACTCAGCCTCCAGAGTGCTGGGATTACAGGCATGCTCCACCACACCTGGCTCCAGCTCAATTCTTAAAAGATGGGCAAAAGATTTGAACAAACACTTCAAAAAAAAGTTCATACAAATATCCACTAAACGGGAAACAGTGCTCATGGTTACTCAATAAGGAAATGTAAATTAAGCCACGGGTTCTTTTTTATCACATGCCCAGGAATATGGTTAACTTTGAAAAACAGCTAAGCCCTAGTGAGCAGGCGGATTCTCCCACACTGCTGATGAAACCGTTCTACCCTCTCCACACTCTGGGACCCAACACTCCCATACAGACCTGTAGGAGCCAGAGTGAGGACCACACCTTCTCACGAAGACGTCCCTGTCCCAGCCCTGGGCACCCATTAAATTTGGCCTCCCACAGCCCGGGATCTTGAGACAAGGGGACACAATCTAATCACATGAATCCTTAGAAGCTTTTGCTGCTGTGTTCAGGGAGAGATGCTACAGTGAAGAGACACTGGGGACCTGAGAAGGAAGGACTCAAAGCCACTGCTGCTGGATTCAAAGATGGAGCAGAATCCACCAGCCAAGGAATGCAGAGGCTTCTAGGAGCCAGGAAAGAAGCTTCAGCAGAAACCCAGCAAAAAAATGGGGACTTGGGGCTAGACCATCAAGAAACAATTTTGAGGCTAGGTGTGCTGGTACATGCCTGTAATCCCAGGACTCTGGGAGGCTGAGGCAGGAGGACTGCAAATTCAAGCCCAGCCTGGGCATTTTGAGAGACTTTGGGTCTCAAAATTAGAAAAAAAAAAAAACTTCAAAAAAAAGGCCAGGGACCTAGTTCAGTGGGAAATCCTTGAATTCAATCCCTGTACTGACAACAAAAAGAAGAAAAAAGGAAAGAAAATTCTGCCAACAACTTGAACAAGCAAGGAAATGAATCTGTCCTTGGAGCTCCCAGAGGCAGATGCAGTCCTGCTGACATCTTGGTCCCAGCTTGGCCAGCCACTGACCCACAGGCAGGAAGGTCAGAAGTGCTTGCTACATCAGCCCTGGAGACTTTGCGCAGCAATAAAACTAGAAGGAGAGGGCCGGGGATTTAGCTCAGTGGTGCTGTTGCTTGCTTCGCAAGTACAAGGTCCTGAATTCAATCCCCAGTACCCAAAAAACAAAAACAAAAAATAGATGGAGTACCCAGGAGAAATGTGCACGCGTGTGCACAGAGAGCTCCAAAACAGAAACAACCCAGGCAGCCACTGAAGGGACAGATGAAGTAACGGGCAGGGCAGGGCAAGGGGAGCAGGGACAGCCTCGTGGGCAGAGAAGGGGAGGGGCAGCCTCGTGGGGAGCCCCCAGGCATGGCAGAGTGTGGAGAGCACATAGTCACCCTGCTCGGGAAACCCATCAGTGAAAAGACAAGCTGCAGGGCTCCCTCTATGCAAAGTTCAAACCCAGGCAAGGCACGGGGCTGTAGCTCGGTGGTAGAGCACGTGTTTATCAGGCCCGAGGTCCTCCATTCCGTCCTCAGCCTCAAAAAGACAAGCCAAAGCATCTCAAAACAGACTAACAAACAAAAGCACAGCAAAAGTTATTCTCAGTCTGCTTTCCGCTACTGTAACGAACACTCAAGGCTAGCAATTTGTAATGAAGAGAAGTTTGTGTAACACAGTTCTGGAGGCAGGGAACTTCAGGGTCAGGTAGCTGCACCTGGCAAGGGCCTCTACTGCATCACCACACCGCAGGTGACATCAGCATCGGGCAGGAATGGCACATGGAGAAAGGAGGGGACTAAGATGTGTTGTAACAAACAACTTTTAAGAGAATAAACCCATTCCTCTGCAGACTAACCTAGGCTTACGAGAAAGAGAAATCTCTTAAAGGCTTCATCTCTCAAAACTGCTACATTAGCCAGAGTGGTGATACAGGCCTGTGACCCCAGGAACTGGGAGGCTGAGGCAAGAGGATCATGAGTTTGAGGCCATCCTGGGCTAAATAGCAAGACCTTGTCTCAAAAACAAAAGAAGGACCAGGAATTTAGCTCAGTGGTTCCACTGCCTGCCTCGAAAGCGCAAGGTCCGGAGTTCAACCTCCAGTGCCAAAACAAAATAAAACAAAACAAAACATCTCTATTCTATTAGCAGCCAAATTTCGACAGAGTTTGGGATGGGACAAACTACAGTGAAACCGTAGCAACAGTTTACCCCAGATAGAGCGTAGCATAGTGATGTCTCTGCGGGGAGCAGGACTGAGACGAGGCCAAGGGAGCCTGAGGGCTGGACAGGTTCTAGATCCTGTGGGGCTGTGTCCCCAAGTTCAGATGCGTGCGATGGATCACACGATGGGAGCCCATATGAAAGCAGCTCTGCTTTGGTTAAAAGGCTCGCATTATAAGAACTGGTCTGTCTGTTTGGATCATTGCATTTATTAAAAATTTAAACTAAAGCCCACTGGAGCCAGGCGTGCTGGCTCACGCCTATAATCCCAGCACTCTGGAGGCTGAGGCAGGAGGATCGCTGCGAGTTCGAGACCAGCCTAGGGTACATAGTGAGTTCCAGGTCAGTCTCAGCTACATAGTGAGACCCTGTCTCAAAGAAACCAAAATAAATAAATGAAAATAAACTAAAGCCCACTTTGTAATGGTGGCTCCCCCTGCCCCATTTATTATTGGGCCACCTCTGCTCTTTCATTACAGAATGTTCCCCTGAAGCCAAGAGTGTAGGAACCAGCCACCAAGCTCAAACCTGGCCAAGGGGTAATGGGATGAGAAAGAAAGAGACAGAATGAGGTTAATACCTGGGGGCCGGGGAGCTCTTGTCCCCCAGACATAGAGCCTCAGGCGACTGCTGCACCTTGGCCTTGTTCAGTCAGACACGGGTACAAGCGACTGGTTGCACAGGACCGCGCTCCGGGGTTCCTGTCTGGGTAATCATGGGATCTCGGCCGTTTTTAGTTTTCCCTCCAAGCCCGTCAATGCCCTTGCACGCCACCTTCCTTCTCAGTGCTCCCCGAGGAGGCCACTTCGCCTCAGTCTTCCTGCCTGGCCTCCCACACAGAGGAATAGAGAACCCCAGCGAGATGTCACCACACAGCACGGTGCACGGGAGTGCATGTAAATGTACACCTTCTTTCATGCCTCTCTATTAAAATTTTATTCATTTTCTTATAGGCTACTAGGTTCTTTCACCCAGAAGGTACTAGTATTTCTTTGTTAGCATTTTTTTCTGTTGCCTTTCACAGTTTTTTCTATCAAATCATGTAGGTATCATTTCCTTCCTTTCTTTCTTTCTTTCTTTTGGCATGGGTGCTGACAAACCATACCTGTGGGCCTGTATGTGTTTCCCTCACTCATGGAGCTATCGTTGGTGGCCACAGAACCATCCTTCATCTGAACAGCTCCTCTGTGAGCGGACACTCAGGTTATGGCCCGTCTTTTACTTTCATAAACCAAGGTACAGAGGTTATCACAGTCTCAGTTACTTTTCAGTAAATTTACTTCAGGTAAATAACCATTGATTTGAAGCTATGGTGACTGTTAGCACTGTTTCCCACTCTGAAAATGGGCCATCTAAGGTGAAGGCTCTTTCCAAGGAGTCCATTCACCCCATAGACACCTCAGTGCCTAACTTAAGGAGCAGCCAAAATAAACTAAGGAAATAATCAGAGTTGTAAAGAATTTTTTTAAATGTCTTATTCCCTAGGTGCTACTTTAACCAAATAGCACAAACGGGTGGTTTAAAACAACAGAAATGGGAGCTTGGGATTTGGCTCAGTGGTTCCGCTGCCTGTCTCGAAAGCACAAGGTCCCAAGTTTGATACCTGGTACCAAAAAAAAAAAACCAACAAACAGAAATGGGCTGGAAATTCAGCTCAGTGGCATCACACCTGCCTCGCAAGCCCAAGGTCCTGAGTTGGATCCCCAGTATGGAATAAATAAATAAATAACAACAACAGACATGTATGATCCAAGTTCTCGAGAGAGGAAGTCAGGAACTAAGATGTAGGCAGCCGTGCCGTCTCCAAAGCTTTTGAGGAAGGGTCCTCCCTGCTCCCCCACTGGACACCTGTGTCAGCCTTGGCCTTGTTCAGTCAGACACGGGTACAAGCGAC